GAGTTTTTCATGTCCTGGAAATCTATTTGCATCTGTTTTATGGATTCCATTTGTTTCCTATGTTGGGATTCCATCATGTTCCTCAGCTCCTCTTTAGATTTATTAACCATGTCTTGCACTAGGGGCACAATTTCTCCTGTTATGTGAGAAATTATTTCTGATTTCAGTTTTTCCAGATCCCCTTTTGTTGCCAGTTCAGTGGGTCCAGGTGGCTATAAGAGTGTTCCATCTCATTTCCCTTTGGGGTTGTTGTAGGTGATCTAGAAGTCTGGTTTTGAGACTTATTTACATGTTTCCTCATTTTGACTGGGAGGGGGGCTGTTAGCACCTGCACGGATTACCTCCTCTGAGCTGGGAGAGGTGGGACAGGGGCCGGGGCAGTGGTAGGGATGGTGGCCCAAAAGCCCTTTCCTGTGGGCTGGGAGCAGCGGGAGGGATGGTGGCCAGGAAGCCCCTTCCTCTGGACCAGGAGCAGTGGGATGGCAGCTCAGAAGCCCCTACCTCTGGGCCAGGATCAGTGGGACTCAGTACCGTGGTCTGATGGTCCGGTGTCCTCTGCGTCTTTGTAGTGTGGATCCAGCTGGCTGTACAGAGGAGTGGGCAGGGGTCCAGTGGATTGTTGCCGGGGCGCGGGGCGTGGGCTGATTTGGCATGTTCTGCATGACTCGCAACCTCAGTAGCGCATGCCCTGCTTACAGATTTTTGCCAACTCACTCATGCTTTGTGTGTCTCCTTTCTCTTCACCATTTATTTCTTTTCTCCTGCTTCAAGGTATGAAATAATAGATGTTCCTCCAATTAAAAAAAAGGATAACTCTTTTCAGCTTTGGCCTTTTCTATCTCCTCTTCAAAGTCAAGTTTCTGGAAGGAGTAGATGACCCTTGTGATCTTCACTTCTTTACTTCCCATTTATTCCATAACTTTCTCCAGGATGGCCCCAGTACCACTACCACCACTTTGGAGGTCACTAAACCTTTGGCAGCTGCCAAATTCAGTGCATGCTGCCATGTCTTTGTTTCTACTCTTGGCTATTGCTCCTTGAAATTTTTCTTCTATTGGTTCTGTTCAGCATTCCTCAGGACTATTTCTTGCTATGTGTTTTCAATGGTAACCTCACCAAACTCGGTTTCAACACTATTCACACACTTACGAGATCTAAATCTATCTCTTTAGTGTGCTGAATTCCAGACTGAAGTCATAATTGTATCTCTACTTGTGTGCACCACAGGCATATTAAACTTATCATGTACCAAAGTGAAAAGTCTCCACACAGTTAATCTGACTCTAGTATTACAAGCATGAATAAAAAACTAAGTTACCAAATTCTAGTCCGTCAAACCAGAAATCTTCCAATTTCCAAGGCAGTAATCTCAATAGTTCTTTGATCCATCTCCTATCGTCAATATTCATTACTACTGCTTCGGTCTATACCTCATCAACTAGCTCCATCCTTGCCACTGGATTACCTTACCAATTCTCTACCTGTTGTCCTTTCTTTTAGCTATCCATGCACAATCTCTTGTCCACAATGCTGTCAAATGATTTTTCCAAAATGCACATCTGCTTATGTCATGTTTCTCCCTAAGATCTGAAAACTCCCACTGCCATAAGGATCAGAGTCAGACCACACATTACAGCCTGCCCTAACCCAAACTTCTAGCTTCCTTTCCTGCCAACTATAACTAATGACCATGGTCATTAGTGTGGCTTCACAAGACCTGTCTCTCAATCCAAAATGTCTTTTCTCTAGTCCTCTGTATCTCCAAATTTAGCCTAAGTGTCACCTTTCCTGAGAAGACTTTTAGACCCTTAGATTTAGATGGCCCTCCTCTCTGCTCCCATTTCATCCCTCCACATTTCTCTCTCAGCACTTGCTGAACAGCTGATTTACTTATACTTCTCACCAGCACATGCATGCTTCTTGAGAACAGAAAACCTCTCACTTGGCTTCGTATCCCAGACATTGATCAGTAATTGCTTGGTAAATAAATTATAGAAACAGTTTAGTCTCTGGTACTCCATCATTTAAATATATAGCTACTCTGTTTTATTAAATGTATTCACTACTCCACTATTAAATTATTCCCTTGAGCCAGGGATTTAGCTCAGTGGTTCTACTGCCTGCCTTGCAAGCGCAAGGACCCGAGTTCAATCCCTGATACAAAAAATAAAATAAAATAAAATAAAATTATTCCTTTGAATAATAACACATTTTACTAAACCAATTTACCTCCAGTGTAGAAAATTTTCACTTTTTGAAGGTCATTTTTAAAATCATGTAGCTTTACTTCTAGTACTTTGGGGATTTTAATTTTTTACATTTAATTCTTTAATACAATTAGATTTTAATCTTTTACATTTACTTTTTAACTCCAACTGGTTATGGCAAATATCTTTTTTGAATGTTTTACAATGGACATGTATTACTTTTATACTTATAAGGACACTTGATAACTCTGAATATTAACATTGGAACCAAGTTTCTCACTATCAATTTTCAGATTAGCCAACCAAATTGTGACTATACTGCTTTGACTGGCCCAACAGCTGAATACAGTATATAGTCCACAGTTAATGATGACTTTTCTATTAGCATTTTCATTAATATAAATTGCTAAGCTTGACCCAATCCCAATTCCAGGGCTAGGGATCAAACGCAGGGCTTTATATATGCTAGGCAAACGCTCTACTACTGAGATATACCATCAGCTCCTAACTTTTTCTTTTTTTTGGTATCTCTAGGGATTAAAACCAGGGTCATTCTACAACTGAGCTACATCCTCAGCCCTTTCAGTTTTCATTTTGAGATAAGATCTTGCTAAATTGCCCAGGCCTGGCCTTAAATTTATAATCCTCCTGCTTCAACCTTCTGTGTAGCTGGGATTACAAGTATGTGTCACCACATCCAGGTCTCTATCATTAATTTTTTAACATATAGTTTATAGCAGTACTGCTCAATATAACTTTTTAAATGATGAAATATTTTGTATCTGTACTATCCAATACAGTAACCACAACCCATATTTGCTAGTATAGTCTAAAGCCTACTGATATTATCCACAAGCCTGTATAATTGGATATATTCCAATACAAACCTTCAATTCATTTCCAGGTATTAATAGACACACACAAATAATTAAGATATGTATCACTCTGTTCAAGGTTTGTCTAGCATGGGTGAGCGAATGAACAGAAAGGAGGGCTGAAATATCAAAGAGAAATTAAACATGGCTTTGGTTGTAGAAGGAATGAACAAATGAGAGGTGATTGGATATCAAAACAAAACTTTTTCTGGGGCTGGGGATTTAGCTGAGTGGTTTCGCCGCCTGCTGTGCAAGCGCAAGGACCCAAGTTCGATCCCCGGTACCAAAAAACCAACAAACAACAACAACAAAATTTTTCTGAAATTGTACACAATGAAATGCAGTGCATTTCAGTGTTGGAGCAAGTCACATGTATCTACAGTGAGGAGTAAAAAAGTATCAAAAATATATCATAGAGAAATGACTAACATAGGACAAGTTCTGCATTATAAATTGCATTTACCTGAAGAGTGCTGAAAAAGTGGGCCGCTTTGGTTTTGAGAGGCCCAAGATACCAGTACCTGAGAAAGACCAAGATAAAAATCTGATTAAAATATCACAAGAGCTATCAATGTGATAGATATCGCTCATGATAGATAATACATTACGTAGAATTATACCTGCATTATGACTGCTGCTCTGAAGGCTTGCAGCTTAACATGTATGAGTATTACCAGTATTATGATATATTTTTAATCTGCATTTCAAGGTCATGTCCAACATTACAGAATTATAAAGTAGAAAGATTCTTGAAGTTCACAAGAGGTGTAGAGCCAGTCTCTCTGAGTCCCTAAATTCATACGTACATAACACAGACTTTCAACACCGAATAGAATTTGTGTACAGCCGAGAGAGCCACGGGGAAAGGACAAAGAGGCCGTGCCAAGAGGATGCAGATGCTGTGTAGTTCGATGTGTTACAAGCTACACAACTGAATCCTTACCCCATGTCCTCTCACACACAAAGGCACACAGAATTAACATGTTAACCAGCACACTCTCACATTTGAAATGGCAAGCATTAAATCTGAGAATAAAGAGGATCAACTATGTGTTGTGAAATACATAAAAGCTACTGAAGAGAGGAAGAGAGAATCCTGTCTCAAAAATTATGTTACCAACCACTCCATCTTAACTACTCCCTATTGATTCTAATTTATACATATTTATTTAGCTCCTATCACTTATATGGAGGAGGATAGAGCATAAAATTTCAGCCTTTGTGACCTTATGATGTGAGGAAATACGTCCTCTCTGAAGTAACAGAAAATAATAAATGACTATGTCATGATAGAAACTGACAACTATTCACTGGTAAGGGGAATAAACAAGGGACAAAATATCATTAATGGTCTAAAATCACTGCAGCAGCCATGCTTGTAAAATGAATGGCAAAGACAGTAACTCAAACAAGAGCTGGGCATGGGTTGGATTTAGAAAAAGAGGGAAGGAAATCATCCTAGGCAAGAAGAGGAGCAAAGGTATGGGAAACAGTGAGAATAATAGCAGAGAAACAAGGAAAATAAAAATAAAGATACATGATTACAAAAATAGGAATGATGAGACAGTTAAGTTGCGCCTGGGATACCAAAATAAAGTTTAGATAAAATCCAACAGGCAATGTGGAATCATTCTAAATTATTATTATTCAGATTAATATTGTGATGCTACCAATGGGGGCATTGGTCAACTGGTAGAGTATGTGTGAGTGTGTGTGTTTAAGCTTACTTTAGTTAGCCAAGTAGAAAAACACCCCGATTCAGGCAGTTCATTTCTAAGCTGTCAGCAGTTCCCTTCACCTCTGCCAAATTTTGACACTATGTTCCCCTATGGCCAACTAGAGAATGATTTCTTGTATCCTGTTTCTTCTTTCACACAAAAAAGTGACTTGGTGGCCTTAACTCACTAGCCAAAGTTTATAGAACCACAAGATTTTAAAATTCATTTTTCAGAAACCAATCAAAATATGAAGCAAGTATGTGAGATATTCCTGTGCTTGCACTTAATTGTTGATTATCCTTTTTTTTTTTTTTTCAGGGAAAGCTAAGCAACTTCTCTTGGTGAGCTGCTGAAATATGAAATTACAGATCAAACACAAGGTAATTTTTGGACTCAACATAATCATGGCAAACTTGCAAATGAGAGGATGTGAAATACTGAAGACTGTAGTATGTAATACAATCCAGTAGTATCTCTTTTTTGACATTCTACTGTCAGGAATTTCATTAGCAGGAATAATAAAGTGATACAACTAAGAGAAATTTCTGGAAAGTAAGTGTGGCAAGCTGATCTAAAAAGTACAAGAGAGGTTTCTTGATGAGAGAGCTGTGAGAGCAACCCTAATTCAGACAAACTGTGTAAAGTTGTAGGCTTTAGGAAAAGCAAAGAAAGACCACCACCCACCAGGAACGAAGCGAAGCTCATGCAGGGTCTCCTTCAGCTCTGCCCCAGGAAGCCCTTGCCTACACCACCTCTCCACATCAGATGGAGCCCGACACACCCTCTGCCCAAGCCAAGAGTTTCATTTCATACAATGGATTCTCCAAAAATAAGTCTATGCCCGTGCAAGCTAGCGATGGCCCTCTAATCAGCTCCTATATAGGCCTGTTCTTCCATCTCACAGCACAGCCAGGCATCTGCCTTTCTTTCTTCTCTGTAAGAGGCAGTAGGTAGTCACTCAATCTGTGAAGCCTTCAAAAAACAACTCTCAGGGAAGTCTTCCTACCAGACAATGAGAGCTCTGCAAGGCTGGGCCCCAGGCATTGCTTTCTGCTTGGTACCCAGCTAAGATGCTGCTGGATGATAGGCAGCCCAGATTCCCTTCAGTCTAGCATAGCCTAAGCTACACTTGGATATTATGTCTAAAAATAGACAATTACTCTTCTCTTTAGCTACCACCACACTGGTGCAAGGAAACTGGAACTTTCCCCAACCTTTCTACATATGGGCGAGAAACCTCTACCTGATTGTTCCTATATCATTATTCATCCCCAATTCAACCTCCAGGCCCACTAAATTTATATTTGTATATTAAAATCTCACAGAATAAGATTTTTAAAAAATCACTGCACATCTATATAAGAATCCTTTACTTGCTAACTTTGACGCCAGCATCCCTGAAGGATCCCCATCGAAGGCCAGTCATCGCAAACACGGGCTGCTCCTTTTCACCCTGGAAGAACAGTCAATTTGGATTCATGAGTAAGACAACTCATAACTCTGTACATGCAAGTACCCAGCATGTGTCTGTGGCCTACTTTTCATGGAACCAAAATTCTAAAAAGTATATTCAAACATTAAAGAAATTAACCTGTACATGCTCAGTAAAAGTACCTGAATAAGCCACACTGCAAAATTAAAGTATATATAACAGGTCTCATGACTCTACTGGCAAGGGAAACAAATCATACTTTAGACTGTAAATTATGAGCTAGGCTAGTCCCTGGGCCAATTAGTAGTCAGGTGAGCCAGAAGACCTTCTCAGTCACACACTTATACAAGGCAAAGATAAATTAAGCCTTCATTCTCTTCAGAGAGCCAAGAGCTCCCAGGTAAGACAAGAATTCTGGGACTCTAGAATGTATCACCTGGATATCTGAAAATACAGACAAGTATGTTACAACAAATCAGAGTAAACAGCAACTTGGATTTGGCCCAATATTTTATGGCCAACTATTGCATATTAAAATAAGTGGGTTGCTGAATTAAGCAACATTAAAAATATCTATACAAGAAAGTCAATACTCCTAAGAGCTTATACTCTAAAATGAACCTTCCTTGAAGTACAAATTATTTACATATATATGTACTAAGTCTGTGTGTGTGTGTGTGTGTGTGTATATATGTACTAAGATTCTGTATGAGATATTTTTCTGTAGCTCAGAATAACAACTAAAACCCAAGAGATGAAAACTAATTGTTGAGTACCACTACTTTCTAAAGAGAGCTGCTGCCTGGCATGGTGGTGCATGCCTGTAATCCCAGCACTCTGGGAGGCTGAGGGAGGAAGATCGAAAATTTGGGCCCATCCTGGGGCAACTTAGTAACTTAGTGGGATCTTGTCTCAAAATATGAAGTTAAAAAGAGCTGGGGATGTAGCTCAGTGCAAAGGCCCTGAGATCAATTCCAGTACTCCCCCCACCGCACCCCCCAAAAAAAAGAAAAGAAAGGAAGGAGGGAGGAAGGGAAAGAAACTGGACTGGCTTCCCCCTCAGCATCACCCCACCAGGACCAGTATAAACAAAAATTAGGAGCAGGGGGAGAAACCTTGGAAGTGGAGTCTGCTGGCCGGGAGAAAGGAGGAAGGAGGCCTCCCAAACCTACTTTCACTTCCCTTCCTCCTGCACCAAAACCAGGCAAGGAATTCCCGGAGGATCACACACACATACTGGAAGACCACAAGAAAAAGACACTGAAGCTGGATGCCCTCTGTTGTGCACCAGCTAACAGGTAACTCCCTAGATCTGTTTTCTGCTCTCTCCTGCTTCAGCAAGTGAAGAGAGAACTAGATGGAGAGATGGTAGAGCACGGCGGCAATGCTGAGACAACTCACTGGACAGCATAGCAAGGACATAGTAGTCTTCTGGGGTCCAACTGGATATTGTGGAAGACAGCATGGCTTTGAATCATCTCATCAAGGAGTCTGGCACAGGGGAACAGCCCCCGAGGAGGAAGAAGCTTTGGAGGGTTCCAAGCCTGGAGGCTTGGGGAAGGAGCTGATAGAGGTGGGGCTACAACAGATCTCCAGCACTAAAAAAACTCACACATGAACCCACAAGAGAGCCAGCACTGAGGCATCAGCAGCCAAGAGGGAGCTGTAATAGTTCTTGTCAAGAAAAAGATCATTCTCTAATCCTGCTTCTATGTATCAACAGTGAGAAGCTAGAAATAGTACAAAGAGGGGAGAATGGAAGGAAGAAACAGCTATCGTGGTACCTCAGTTCACAAATGCTTTTGTTTGCAAACAATTTGGTTCACAAACAGAAGTGTTTGGCAAAATTTTGTTTTGTTTCCAAACTCTGCATCAAGTTACAAACACGACGGAGGCCATCTTTCCCACACAAACACAAACATGGTCATCTTTTCCAAAATCATAGAACAAATTAAGTTTGTGAACCAAGGTACCACTATATTCCGAAGATGTTGAGCGGAGGTGACTGCTAATTAAGTGAGGAAGGGAAGATCCTGTTGATTCAGTGACATTTAAACAGAAGAATGACCTGAGACCATATAAGGAAATATAAGGTCATATAAGGACAAAGAAATAACAGGAACTAGGCTGTATTTGCCTTGAAGACTCGTGGATGACTTTGGCTGCTGTTCAGCGAGGAGAAGCTACTGAAGGAAGGGCTTTGCACAGAGAAGTGACTCGCTCTAACTTTTGGCACCTCCAGCTGTTGGATACAGACCATGGGGAGGCAGGGGCAGAAGAAAAGGCCAGAGCTAGAGGATCCTACAGGAGTCCAGGCACAAGATGGAGGGGACCGGGACCGGGACCAGGACAGGAACAAGAGTGGTCTGAAGATGGCCTGGATTCAGCATATATTTTGTAGATGAAACCCACCAGTTTCTGGCCTACATGACCATGGAGAGTCAAAGATGACTCCAAAATTTTTGGATATAATGAGTGATGGTTTTATCAAAGTAAAAGTGATCAGTTAAAGACCACATGATTTCTTAGTAATGTTACATGCTGATCACTAACAATTTATAAAACAGCATAGTAACCCAGAACAACTGTTTGGAAGTGAAGCGATTTTAGACAAGTAATTTACAACCTGCACACTGGCTTAATACTCAGACCTCTCCATATGATTTCCTTCAAGTGTCTTAAGTTATCACTATTGTATCCTCGCCTCTTAACACAGTGAGTGGCATCACCCAATAAATAAAATTTATAACAATAAAATTAAAATAAATGAAAATTACTTATCTTTAGTCATAACATTAGGTGACAGAATAACCTTGTAAAAAATTTACATGGCTCAAAACTATCTTCTCACTAAAATTCCACAGCATCCACCTCTCAAGGCTCTAAAGACAGATATGCTTTCATTCATTTGACCAATTCATTTGTCCTGAACTTCTACTCTGCACCAAGCACTGTGCCAGGGACTGAGACATGTTGAGAACAAGACCACATCTCCTCTACCTCCAAATGCCCACATTCTTTGCTCAGCCCTTATGCTCACAAACAAAATCTCCCTCCACAGGCCCTCCACGACGTCACAGCTCCCCACTACTCCCACTACTGTTTGTCGATGTTCCTCCTAATTCTGCAGTGAGAACTAAATAAAACATTGAATCTAAACACTGTCTAAATAAAGTCCCACTTTACATTCACCTTAACTAGTAAGGATGTTTAACCATGTGGAAAGTTTTCATACACCAGGCTTAACAAGTATGTACTACATATCAGGGACTGGGAATAAAAATATCTTTAAGGAGCTCAAAATATAGGGGGTGTTAGACACAAGCAGTTTGAGTATCAGCGAGCTACAAAGAGTAATTGGGAAATACAAGCAGATGCAATGGTATAATGTTGGGAGCAAAGGACAATGGTCATGGAAAACACAAGCTAAATTCTAAAACGTAAGTTTATGTATTCACTTTTAATATTTTTTAGCTGACAAATCAAGCTAATTATCACCTTGCTAATCCTTTTTGTGGTAAAAACGTTTGAAGTTTAGACTCTTAGGTTGAAACACAGTATTTTATTATTGAGCACAGGTCACTCTGCTGTGTAATTCAATCTCAAAGCTTATTCTCCCCAACTGCAACTTTGTATCTTTTAACCAACATTTTAAAAAGAAAGGACCTAGCTGAGCCTGGTGGCACAGGCCTGTAGTCCCAGCACTGTGGGAGGCTGAGGCAGGAGGATTCAAATTCAAGTTCAGCCTAAGTGACTATGCAACTGAATGAGACCCTGTCTCAAAATAAAAAATAGAAAAGGTTGGGGCTATAGCTCAGTGTAAAGGCCCTAGGTTCAATCCCCAATACTGCAAAAACAGCTGGAAGGAAGGAAGGGAGGGAGGGAGGGAGGGAGGGAGGGAGGGAAAGGGAGTGAAGGGGAGTGAAGGGAAGGGAAAGGAAAGGAAAGAAAAGGAAAGGAAGGAAAGAAGGACGGACGGACTGACCTAGCTTGGGAGAGGGTGGGAAAAGACTGAAGAGGAGAGAACATTGTAGCCCACAGGAGAGAGGCAGCACAGAGCTTGCTGCATCTTCACCAGCATTTCCCCACATTGCCTAAGATGCTAACAAGTGTCACTTCACATGATGACAGTGACAATGGCAGACACTTCTGTGGTGAGACAGGCTGGGAGATACCTAAGTTATTTGGTCTGTGACAAGTTCTGTTTAACTGCAGTTTTTATTAGTGTATCAATCTATATGAACAAATTTCCAAAAGGAGAAATACAGTACACAGTTTTCTTGAGTTGTTTAATCCCTTCTTTGGGAGGACTTTCCATTTTTTTTTAGTACCGGGGATGGAACTCGGGACCTTGCACTTTCGAAGCAGGTGATGGAAAATCCCATCTAAGCTAAATCCCCGGCCCTGGGAGGGCTTTCCTATATAGTAAAATACCAATGGATTGCTGTTCTAAAGCCTAGCATGTGCTGTAGACAGGAAGTGCTGAGGGAAGTACATGCTCAAGACTTGCAGACTGGTGACGTAACATGTCTCTTCTTGTTTCATCCAGGGGCAAGAATCGCAGGAATACTCTGTTAGGATCAATGGGAAAGCCTTGTAAACCTTAACCTTGAGGTTCACTGATGTGGACTACTATGGCCTAGAAAGGAGTGGGGATGGCTCTGGGCAGTAGGGGATGAGCAAACAGGCCCGATGTGCATAAACAAATCTAGAAAAGCCTGATCAAGAGCCAGATGGGCACAGCACTAACAGGATTCAGAAGGGGCTGAAGGTAACGGGGACCAGTCCTTGTGGAGGCACCCTGAGCTTGGTAAAAACAGACATGGTCACATGGACAAACAGACAGCACTACTGCATCTTAAGCCCGTTGAAGGTCCAAACAAGTAGATTATGAGGTGGGTAGGTCCAACAACAAAACAGAAAAACGGGCACACAACCAGACCATCACAGAAATGGGTTGAGCTGTCCAGTTCACAGCTCTTCCCCCTGAAAAGAGCAAATCCCTCAGAAAACAGCCTAGCAGCTTGTGGCAGAAAATAAATGGAAGAAGTGGTTGGAATATAAGCTTATGGGATAGGGAAAAGAAAACAATTCCTGTCAATTAGTTCCTAGACTGAGAGAAAGAAATGAGGGAGAAGGACCTCTGAAGCTCCAAGCATCTCTAAGAGAATGCTCAGAGCCCAGGGAGGAAAGAAAACAAAGAACCTGAGTAGCCAAGAAGGATGGAAAGGGGAAAGAGACATTCTAGTTTCCCACCATGTCCCCTATTTGGTTCTGAGTTGAAACCAATTTAAAAAGCAAAAACAAAAGAATTAGAAAGAACTCCACAAATCTTTCCAGTACTTTCTTTACAGTCAAGTACTGTGCACCACAAATGTCAATATTGAAAAGAAAAATGCTGTTTAAAAGTCACATGATAGTGCCAGGTGGAATACCACCTGAAAAAAGCAGTGTGGAGAAAGCCACGGACCACAAGACAGAAATCTAGACTCCAGTTCTGCCTTCAGCACAATGAGGCTCATGACCTGTGACATTTTTTAATCTGTCAAATGAGGATATAATATACATCTTGACTTCCTCACCATGTTGGACATTCAGATAAGATGTGAACACACAGTAAAACACATAAAATGCTAAATATAAGGCATTATCATAGTTTCCAAAAACTACTTTTTATCTTTGGGAAATCATTCATTAGACGTGAGGTTTGGGTTACTCTCTAAAAGAAGAAGAATTTGGTATCAGGCTTCGTCTCTAAAGCTTTTCTCCATATTCTGGAAGCAATTTCTAGAAATAAGGAGAAAAGCGAAAACGCATTCAACTTAGCTGGTTCCTCAGAATCCGGAGTAGTGGCTGCTGCACCATGTTTCCTAGGAACTGATTTAAAAAGTTTCCTGTTTCCTGGGCTGTGTCATCAACACACAGCGTCTGTGGTAAATTTGACGCTGGTTTCATCAATTCACAAAATCAATGTATTTGAAAGAAAAAGAAAGAGGAGGCAAGAGACATTTAACACATTCTCACTGGCTTGAACCACTGGTGGTACTTGCATGACTGCCCCATCGGGCAGTACCAACAGATCTAATCACATCTGTCAGTCTTTTAAACTAATAAAACTAATAAAATTAATAAAAAGCTGTCCAATGGGACAGTCATGCATGTACCACCAGTGGTCCAAGCCACCCAGCAGTGAGACATGAATTACAGCCCCACCATGAACATGTTAAATACAAACACAGCAAGAATTTCCAATTAAATTTTAGTTACTATGGAGTGTATTACTTCCACTGAATATAAAACAAGCAGTAAAACAAGCAGTAAATCACTCAGTTAGTTATTAAGAGGTACATCCTGATTCACCTTCTTTAATCATAAAAATATTTTAAAATAATACCATCATATATCAGTAGTATATTTGCTAGGGGAGAATTTCCTTCAGGATAGCCCTCCCATCTTTTGAGAATAATGTATTGTATTTTGAAAGATCAATGGCAATATAATCACTTTTATCAAGCCCAATGAGACTGTCGTACATAGTCTAGACATCAGTGCAAGAAGAAAGAAAAATAACAAGAAAATAGGCTACGAACTCATAGGTTCATTTGCCAACTGTAAATATGCACACAGCAAACTCTCATACAGTGTGAGAATTCCTTATCTGAAACGTTTGGGAGTAGAAGTGTTGCACATTTTAGAGTTTCTTGAATTTTGGAATATCTGCGTAGACTTTACTGGTTTAGCATCCCTAATCCAAAAATCCAAAATCTTCTAAAATCTGAAACTCTGGGTCAGCCCCAGATTTTGGACTTTCAGATTGGGGAAGCTCAACCAGTATAACTAATAGCAATGTTTGGAGACAGAAGTTTAGGATCATGTCACAGTACAGTCTCTTCTTTTGCAAATATTAGGAAAGGAATAAATATAAAATATTTATCCTGAATGTAGCTGGTACATTTTAAGGCCAAATCTGAGTAGAGTACATGGAAGGTGATTTAATTTCACAGCTCTACATTCTTAAGAATTTGTCCCTTTTTTTGCCAAGGAAAGAAAGTTTAGATGTGGCCAGGGATTTAGCTCAGTGGTTCCACTGCCTGCCTTCCAAGCTCAAGGTTCCAAGTTCGATCCCGGTACCAAAACAAAACAAAACAAAAAAGTTTAGATGAAGAAGGAATAGTTGCTTAAGTAATACCCAGTAAGAATATCTATTAAATTGGGAATTAAATTAGTTTCAAGGAGAAGATCCTGGTCAAGAATTCAAAATGTCTTCTAGACCTTCCCTCCTCTGCTCTCTCCCCCAGTTTTTACTTTGGAAAAATGTCAAAAGTTTAAATAGCACAATGAACACCTTTTATACCTTTCACTTAAATTCACCACTGCCAACATCTCCTCCATATCAGCCTTATCCTACAGAGTTGTCAAATTTACAAGTAAGTTGCACGTTTTACCCTCAAATATTTCAGCATATATCTCCCAAGAGCAAGGATGTACACAGACAACCAATGGCACGCTCAAGAAATCTAACACTGGGTCGGGGTCGGGCACAGTGGTGTGTACTTGCAGTCCTAGCTACTTGCCAGGCTAAGGCAAGAGAGTTGCAAGCTGAACGCCAGCATGGGCAACTCAGTAAGGAGCTGTCTCAAAATGTAAAAAAATATATATATGTATTTTTTAAAGGGCTGGGGATATAGCTCAGTAGTAGAGCACCCCTGGATTCAAGCACAATATTTGGGGGGATTAAACATCAATATATAATCTGTAAGATATAATTCATATTAAAATTAAAATATCTCTAATTGTCCCAATAATTATGACTGTTATTATGATTGCCATTGCTTTTCATTTTTCCAATCCAGGATCTTATATTGATTTAATTTCTTTAGTTTCCCTTTAATATTAAACAGACTTTCTACCTTCTTTTGGATTTTATAACATGGACATTTTTTGAATAGGCTTACTCAAAATGTTGTTTAGAATGTCCCATGAGCTGGATTTATCTGATTATTTTACTATTAGATTCAGATTAATTAAGCATTTGAGGAAGAAAATGACATTTTTGATGTTGTGTCCATCTCAGTACATTATCTCAAGAGGCAGACAGACAATGTCAGCTTGTTCCATTACTGGTGACACCAAGTCTGATAGTTTGGATAAAGTGGCACTTTTAGAGTGGAGAAATTGTTAAATGGTTTTGAGACTGTTCAGAAATGTTTTCCAACAGCTTTTTGGCCAATGGCTTTTGTATCAATTGATGATCTTGACTTGAATCATCAAAATAGTGACTGTAAAATGGGAATATTTTTATTCTATCACTCCTTCTACATTTACAAGCTAGCTATTCTTCTGTAACATCACTGTGGACTCGGGTATTCTTCACTTCTTAAGGAATTATTATTCTTTTTGATATTTAAACTGCCCCCATCAGTCTGGTTCTTATGTCTTTCTGAAAGGTTACCATCAATTTTTGAGTATGTTCTTGCCTTGTTCTTCCTCTGCCTCTGAAAACCATCCCTTCACAGAGTCTTGGCTATTTTTATTAGGGAATAGCATTAAAAGATCAAAATTTGGATTTCAGGTATGCTCACTGTTGTGGGACATCACTGCATCTGAGCCCTTCCAGTAGGCATAGCTAGCAGACGTATTTCTAAAACTTAGGAATTCCTCTGCAGATCAGTAAGAAAACATTAGACAATCCAATAGAAAAATACAAAGTTCCGTTCTCACCTAGGATGTAGGAAGCTACAAAAAAAAAAAAACCCTTATCCCACACTGAAAATAAGAAAAATACAATCTACAAAATCCTATCTTTTATTAAGGTAGTCAGAGAGCTAACATGCAGACCACCAAGTGATCTGAATTCCAAAGACAAGCTCCTCCAAAGGAGAGACAGGACATGAGAAAGGGTTCACCTTTGTTAGGATATAAAGAACAAGGCAGAGGTAAAATGAAACCAGCCACTGTTCTAAGTACTTTATGTTTATGAGCTCTTAACATAACTATAGGAGGTATATGAATAATCTGTGATTATCTGTGGTCCAAAGGTAATCAATAGAGGTACCACTATATTAGAAAGAGATATAAAAGAATAAAGCTACACTCTCAGCCCTCATTTTATTCTGAGATAGAGTCTCACACTAAAATGTCTAGTGGGCCTTGAATTGTGATCCTCCTGCCTCGGCCTCCAGAGTGCTAAAATGAGAAGCATGAGCCACCATGCCTAACTAGGAATTTATATAATAAAGAGATTGAGATAAGGTCTAAAACTGATACACCACAGTGGAGCATCATATACTCAACAATCCTGAACTATACACTTAAAGGGCTGAGAAGGTAAATTATATGATATTGATTTTATATCACAATGTTCAAACTGTTATTTTTGGTAGTACTGGGGATTGAATGTAGGGCTTCATACATGCTAAGAAGCTCTCTACCACTGAGCTACATACCCAGCCCCTACCACATTTTTTTTTAAAGTAGGATGCTAAGCATATTTATTATTGATAAGAGGTAGAACAGGTAAAATTTCTTCTCTAGGGTTGAATACTTGGGATAGAAGGGAAAGAGGGACATTTGTGTTCAAAACTGCATTTAAATGGCTACATTTAATACATGTGTGTATCACTGTGATAAATGTTTCAAAATCTGAAGAGACCTCACCTTGATCTGCAGGACATCAAGTGGAATAGTCTCTCCCTTCACAATGGCAAGTGTAGCATCTGTAATATGTCTAAAGGGGAACAGAAAGGAAATGAGTACATCATGGAAATAAGCAACACCTCCCCACCATACACAGACACTCTGGCCCCGAATACTAGGAGTTGGGGCAGGAAAAGGATAGTCTTTCAAAAATAATCCAAGGACACAGAAATAATCCAAAGGAGTAGGAAAGAACCACCTAAACAAATATGGTGGAAGGCGCTGATACAGACTCAAGAAGGATTTGGCAAGGAAAAGTTTATACAAAACATCAATCACTTAACATTTAGTGAGTCTATCCATTGGCATGACTCATGTTTGTCATTGGAAAATATGATACTTATATACATAAAAAATTTTTTTATTCATTGTATGAAATGTAGGCACTTCAAAAAACAATGTTTATTTTCACTCTTAACAGTCAGAAAGGTAACTAAAGGGCAGGATTTGTTGCTGCTATGATAGCAAAACAATCTGGAACCCAAAACATGTTTCCTTTATTTTTAAGATTACTAGGATGAATGTCATTTTAACTGCCGATTCGTTTGTTCAAAGACTGGAGACTATTCTTATCTACATTCTTAGAGACTTGACAAGTCTATACGTAAAATAGTACTCCTCAAAAGGCATGTTCTATTGACAGCCATCCAGGGCACATGAAACTATGCCAGGCCTTACATGCAGTTCTAGACGTTGTACTTCAATTAGGTCTGAGGTTAGACACACATGGATACAAATGCACAGTCAATCAAAGAAGCATTACAGCAACAAGTGGCTGCACAGTGAAGTCCTTGCTCTCAGAACAGAAAGAGTTAGACACACACCAAGCCCTTCCTCACACAGCCTGTAAACTGCTGCAGTCTCTGTGAGGCTGGCTACTTTCATCCTTCAGATCTTAACTGAGCTGTCCATTTCTCAGAGAGGCCCACCCCATCAGGCCCAGAGGTAGTTGCTTCCCTGTTGCGTATTCTCTACCACTACACTGTTCACATCTCTGCACAGATCACAACTTCTACTATCCTGTTTCTTTATTTACTTTTAGTATTACTTTATTTGCTCATCTGTTTCCTCCTAGAGACTGAAAGTTCCATAAGGTTAGTGACAATTTGCATCCATTTACTGACCAATGCAAAACATACACCTGACATGGTGCAAGGGACATAATCAGCACTTCATATTTGCTGAGTTACTTTATTCTATAGAATTGCGAGCATAGAGAGTAATACCATGAACCTCTATATATTCCTCATAAGCTTTGACAATTATCAACTTACAGCCAACTTTACTTCCTTTATATGCTCCATTTGCCCATGAACCTGTAGACTAAAATGAATTTTAGATATCTTAACACTTCATAAATAGTTCATTATATATCTCCAAAGAGCAGATTCTTTTAAAAAAGGGCCAGGGATTTAGCTCAGTGGTTCCACCGCCTGTCTCACAAGTGCAAGGACCGGAGTTCGATCCCTGGTACCAAAAAAAAAAAAAAAAATGAACTGCAAAAAACAGTAAACATTACATACTTTAAAAAAATAAGTAATTCATTTATATCAACATATATTTAGTCTATGTGCAAATTTCCCCAATTATCATATGAATATATATGTATACATACATACATATTAGCTTCTTTGCTCAAATCAAGATCCAAATAAGACATACACATTGCAATTAGCTTGTGTCTCAAGTCTCTCTTATTCTATAAATACCCTATTTCATTTTCCAATTTAAAGAAATAGCTCTTATTGAATTTCATGAGGTTTTGGATTTTACTGATTGCATACCCATGATAATAATATACATTTCTATTCCTCCTATCTTCAGAGTATCTAGACTAGAAATGTGTATCCGGTTCAGCTTTACAGTTTTTGGCAAAAATGCTCCCTATGTGGTGATGTCTACTTCTACTAGGAGATACATAATATCTGGTGATATCTCTGTGATGTGGCACCATTGAAAATCCTTGTCTCATTCAACTATCTGATCTTTGACAAAGAGGCCAAAATCATACACTGGAGGTAAGATAACCTCTTAACAAATGGTTCTGGAAAAACCAGAACCACATGCTATCCACATGCAGAAGTCTGAATCCACACCATATCTCTCACCATGCACTAAACTAAAATCAAAATGGATCAAACATCTAAATGTTAAAACAGAAATACTTAATCTGTTGGAAGATAAAATTGGTAAAACTCTTGAAGACATAGGTGTAGGAAAGCACCTCCTGAATAGAAACAAATTGTACCAGAAATAACATCAAGAATCAACAAATGGGATCATAACAAATTTAAAAGCATCTGCACAGCAAAGGAAGCAACCAACAGAATGAAGAGAATCTACAGAATGGGGAAAAATGTGCCAGCTACTTCTCACACAGAGGACTAGTATCTAGAACATACAAAGAGCTAAAAAAAAAATTAGAATCCCTCCAACATAAAAGATCAAATCAAAAAAATGGGCAACTGAAATGAATAGACACTTCTCAGAAAAAGTACAAAAGGCATACAAATATATGAAAAAATGCTCAACATTTTGGGCCATTAGAGAAATAAATGCAAGTTGAAACAACACTGAGATCCTATCTTACTCCAGAAAGAATGTCTATCATCAAGAAATTAGATAACAACAGATGTTTGCAAGGCTGTTGGGAAAAAGGAACCCTTCCACACTGTTGGTGGGAATGTAAACTCCTCAAAAAATTGAAACTCATTTGACCCAGCTAGTCTCTTTCTAGGTGTCTTCTTGAAAGAGACATCATATTACAGTGGTATATGCATACCCATGTTTATGGCAGCACAATTCATAATAGCTAAATCTTGGAAGTGGCCAATATGTCCATCAACAGATGAATGGATAAAGAAAATGTGGTATTTAGGCACAAAGGTGTACTATTCGCCATAAAAGGATAAACTTGAACCATTTGTAGGAAAATGGCTGCACCTTGAGATCATGTTAAGTGAAATAAATCAGACATGGGAGCTTAAATATCACATGGTTTCTCTTATATGAGATACTTAAAACATAAATAAAGAGCAAATAAAAGATAGATAATAGGAAAAAGGGAGATAGACCTTTTGCAAAAGGTAGAGGACCTAGAGATCAAGGGAGGGGGAAAGACAGGATAAAAAAGAATTAAGATGTGTTATGTACTAACTCCCCATGAAGAATCTAATCACTATGTACTGCAAACATGTACTAATAAAAAATAAAAAATAAAAACATACATACATAAAATTGAAAATAAAATCCTTTCCGACATTTTTTAATTAACAGAATTACAAACTGCCCATCTTTTAATTATATTATTCCATCTAATTTATTATCTGGTCTACAAAGAGAAGCTTTCACTCATTAACGATCTGGATATCTTGCAATATAGGTCATATGAGAAAGCCAAGATAAATTCTTAATTTTGAAACATTTTTCTCATCAATTTTCAAAATAAGGTGATTACCTAGTGTTATACACAACTGAACAGTTTATTTTTATTTTCTTACCACTATGAAATCACTCATACATATGTACTTAATATTTAAATGCCTCATAGTTACCAGTTTTATTGATCCTCAAATTATTCCAAATGAATGAATTTTAATGATCGAGTACAAGGGTCCAGCATATAATTAGAATAAATGATAAACAGCCACAAGATGATGTGGTTTTTTTTATAAAATGGAGTACTACTCAGCCATAAAGAATGAGAAACTAGAGACATTTATAGCTAAATGGATGCATACTGAGGCCATCCTCGTAAGTAAAATAAATAGGACACATATGTGTAAATACAGAATAGTTTCTCTGGCGTGAGAAACTGAAAGTGTAAATAAGGATACACAAATAACTAATAACATATTTCTCGGATTGTGTTTCCATCACGTGTCACATGACTGTATCGAAATCTAAATTAGGGAGAAGTTTGGCTTATGTGTAGTCTGCTAATTAACTGGAGTTTTTTTTCCAGATCATTATTTATTCAATGTTGGTTTTGGGGACCTTTCCGAAACAAATCACATCCTCTGGTGTCTTGTTGGTGGTTGAGATGCTTTTTTAAGTTTTATGGAAAAATGTTTAAGCGCTTTTCAGTTTTGTTTTGTTTGAGTTCTACTGTATTTGAATATTATTGTAGTTTTATTCCCCTTGCATTGTTCTTCTTTGAATGGTTTCAATTTTTGTGTGTGTGTTTGATAATAAAGTTATTTAATTAAAAAAATTTTTAAAAAAAGAATAGCCCCAAAAGGTCCATGCTGATATAAGCCAAACTGGAGAGAATTCTTCCCTAATGTTTACTTAAGCAAGAATTATATAAGTTTGAAAGGACAAATTTTTTTGACTTATCTTTAAGACTTTTTTGGATCCATTAGGTTTGTAGTAAAATTAAAAGGCACCGAGAATTCCTCCTATCCCCAGGCCCACACCTGCATAACCTCACCCATTATCAAAATCTCCACCAAAGAGGTTGGTGCATGTGTTACCACTGATTAAACTACATCAATATATCATTACCCATGGTCCACATTTTTATTAGGGTTATATTTTATGAGGCTGAACAAATGTATAATGATGTGTCCACTACTGAAGTATATACACAGTATTTTCACTGCCACCAAATCCTCTAGTCATCATTTTACTATCTCCATAGTTTTCCTGGTCCAGATTCAAGCAGCTGGAATCATACAGCATGCAGCCTTTTCAGACTGGCTCCTTTCACTTAATAATATGCATTTAGTTTTGTTTTTTCATGGCTCGCTAGCTCATTTTTTTTCAGCTTTGAATAATATTCTATTGTCTGCATGTATCAGTTTATCCATTCACCTATTGCTTTTCTGTTTTGTCAGGTTGTGTCTTTCAAGAAAATGGTCCCTTTTGTCTAGGTTATCAAGTCTGTTGGCATAGACTTATTTATCACGTTCCTTTCTTAGCCCTTTAATGTCTGTAAGATCTGCAGAATGTCCTCTTTCATTACTAATATTAGTAATTTGAGTCCTCTCTAGTTTTTCTAATTTAGCCTGGCCAAAGACCTGTTGATCT